GAGAATGAGAGAGAGAGAGAGAGAGAGAGAGTGTGTGTCTCCTGTGTATGTGTTTGGGGACCCTGAGCATGTGATTTATTTCAGAATACTAATGTCTCTTTGATCTCCTCTGCTTAAAAAAAACACCCTGCTGGGACTGTGGGCACACACACACATACACACACTCCAACACAGCCACAGAAATGCATACATGTATATGTCTACACGCATGCACACACCCGTACATACCTGCGAGCACACACACACACGCATTAATATTGTTGTGTCCCCTCGCCTGACTGCTGAACAGGGCTCATTTATGCACACACACTCCCACATTCAGACACACACACATACACACACACACACACACACACACACACACACACACACACACACTCCAGGGTGTCTAATCTACTTTAACTATCATCAAATCCATAGAGATCCAATTACAAAGATAGAGGAATATTTGTTTTTCTCTGTGCATCCTAAAAGACTAATTAAATTTTCATGTAAAGATGAAATTATTTGATACAACACAAACATCTTTTCATTTTAATAATTGTAATGTAATATGTTTTAATTGGGGATCCTGTGACTAGTTCTGCCTAATTCAGCTGCATTTCTAGGCCTATAATCCTGTACAATGACTAAAGTCAGTCACAAAAAAGAAACAGAATGGGAACGTCGTGGGGACTCTGTTTACCTTTCCTTCTTGTATCGTTTTATCATCATCCCAAGAGCTAAATGCTAATGTTAGCATGCTAACATACTCAAGGTGACAAAGGTAACATACTTCCAGGTATTATGTTTACCACATTCCCCTTAGTTTAGTGCAGTGGTTCTTTCAAAGTTGATTTCATTTGAATCAATCGCGCAATTGACATAAAACAAAAGATTTAGGTTAGCAAAATAGCCTTGCTTGCATCAGAGCCATTTATTTTTGTTTATGCCACCATATATATCACATTCATGCAACTTTAGGTCTGCTCAACATCCATTCCCCCAGCAGTGACACTATGCCCCCTGTTTGAGAAACACTGGTTTAGCGTGTAAGCATCTAATATTTGCTAATAAGCATATGTACAAAATACAGCTGAGGCTGATGGGAATGTCATTACCTTTGCAGGTATTGGACAAATCAAAATGCTGACCTGTTGATTGCGTTAGATGAAAAGTCAGTAGTCAGAAGTTACGATTCATCTGGAGGGAGGCATGAATAGGTGTTCCAAATGTCGCAATCCACTCAATAATTAAGACATTTCACATAAAACTACAAATTTCAACCTCATGGTGGCACTATTTGAAAGGTCAGGGGATGACCAAAGTCATTAGGATACATCATCTGTGGACAATAGCTTTACATTGAAAATGTCATAGCAATCCATCCAGTAGTTTTTGAGATATATCAGTCTGGACCACAGTGACCAACAGACCAACAATACCATCCCTAGAGCCACGTGACTAAAAGTAAAAGCTTGTAAGTAACTGCTCCTCTCACAAGGTACGCCTACCACTGGCCTTTCTTACAGTTACATGTCTTCCTTTTAGGATGTTTTTTGATTATTTTGAAAATTACCGTAAGGTTATGGTGATCCTATTTTCAGGCAATCTTAGTTCTACTCCTATTTAAGTTATTGATTTCCTACATGTGCCAAAGTGAGCATGGATAAACCCCAGCTGTTCAACTGCTAGCTACATGTATTTTTGTATATATACAGTTGGTTGCTTGATAAATTCACTTGTCTTCTATAATAAATTCTGTATAATTACAAATCAATATAACTTGGCAGCTCTTGAATGAAGCTGTTTTCTCTTGATTCAGTGTATCGGGCACAGCTGGATAAGGTTTTATTTTTCTTTTGAGCACCTCCTGTGCTCACACTGATCACCTGCTCTCTCTCTCCTTGCTTTCTCCAGGGTCTCTCGGTGAGCAGCTTGAAGCGAAATCCCCAGCTGTGGCAGATTGGAGTGGTCAAAAGAGTACTCAGAAGAGAAGTCAGTGTCTCATATGAAAGACTGTCTGTGTTTCCAGTTACTGTATACTGGATAATGAGTTGCATTCAAGAGCATTTCACTGTGGATGCATGTTTAAATAATTTTTTTTGGGGGGGGGGGGGGGGGGGGGGGTGTATAATAAATGTGTATACTCAGTAACTTTTCCTGGTGTCTCACTGGCGGTTTTCTACCAAAGGAAAAAGAGCAGTATTCTTACGGGGCATTGTCTGCTGCATCTGATACCACAACCTGACATTTACTGTTGAAGCTGTAGAAGTTGTAAATAGCTGAGCAATTATTGTGCTGTTAAAATAACATGATGTTGTCTAAGTGTGGACAGTTATCTGCAGGAATGAGAAAAATACACCACCAAACACAATAGACCCAGGAGTGGATGGTGCAATGTCAATAGCTTTTTTTTTTCTAGTTTTGGGTTGTATTTCGTTTCAACACTTGCATGTCTGTTCAAACTGCTCAGGCTTGAAATGGGTGGAGGTGAGTCCTGATTCCCTCCTCCTGCAAGCCCCTAGTCTCACTTGATACATGGAATCTGTCAGAAACTCCAGCTCTTCCCTGAGGAACACCTCCAGCAGCAGCCTCAGGGACGTTAAAGCATGCAGCTGCTGGCCCGGCTCTTCTGGGTTTTCCAACCCCCCTTATCACAGCAGACAGCAGGTGTAGCAGCTTGGTGATGCCACCTCTCATAAGGGGCTGCCTCGGGGTGGCACAATGCACCAACTCCAGCTGGTTATGGAATCAGATATGATCATACCTTAGACAAAGGTATAGATCATCTGACCTGCTTAGACCACAGCAGCTAGCATCCACTAAAAAAAAAACTAAATATCAAGTATAGTGTAATAATAATAACAATTCTTGGAATATTTATTTAAATCACCTATAATATATACATATATATATAGTTGACTGTCATTTTTCACTCAAACCACTCTTGTTAGCATCATGTTCAGCTCTATACCCTTAAAAACCAACTGTACACTACCTGCTGAGCAGCAAACAGACAAAGTTAGAAACTAGCTGGTGAACACAGTGGAGCATTTAGCAACTAAAGAACCAGATATTTCCTGAGACCTGCTCAACTAAAACGCTCTGCTACGGAAACTGTGTGAGACTAATTCATGCAGACAGAGAAGAAATAAGGTCAGATGAGTCTGTTAATTCTGCTATGTCTTAATTTAATTGTTGGCACTTTGTTTGAATGTGGCTGAATCTCCTGAGACTCAGTCATTATGGGTTTCTTTTGACCATATTACATTTCCCTTTTATTCTCATTTTAAATTGTAAGTGTGTGTGTGTGTGTGTGTGTGTTTGTTTGTCTTACTTTCCAATTATTTGGAGAGGGTGGAGACCAAAACAGAGCTACTAGGAGAGTGAATCTTGGACTTACATTCATCAGTTGGACACAAAAACAAATCCAAATGAGTAATAATGTTGCTCTGTGTCTGCTGGATGTTTGGGCAGCAGTTGGCTAAAAAGTTCACCATCGACTTTATAAAGTGATACGTTAATATTTCCAGCTTGTTTTTACAGCCTGTTCCCACGTGGCCAAAAAAATCACTTTAGAGTAGTCTACTCCACTGATTTAGCAGTAGACATCTGTAACATTGTTGGACTCACGGTGGACAGTTTAAAAAAAAAAAGATCTCATGCTTGTTGAGTAAGTGCTGACTGTCATACCAACGAGCCTGTTTTTTTGGCGTTGCGGTCAAAGTTGTACATTTTGAACCCTGTAGAACTGGATTTGAATCCCGGTGTGGTGACTGCTCTCTCCCTTCGCAATACTGTCTATTTTATTCCTAGCATTCCTGTTGTCGAAACCTGGTGCCTACATTACCCAAAATGCAACTTCAACACCATCGGTTTGATCAGAAATTTGGGTGTACTATGCTGGTAGCAGCTAATGTAGCCTCTAGCCGCTAGCCACGAGCAGAGATGAGGAGCAGGCTACAGAGGTCTGGTAAGCTCACTTCTTTCTCCACACCCCCAGACTTTCTTTTCATTTTCAAACTTATAGTCTTCAGCCTCAAGCACTTCGCACAGCTGTGGTGTTCCCCTTTAAAACAGGTTAATAGCTTTACCCAAATGTTGTAGTTATATTGGCAACATATGAAACAGTTGGATTTAAAAAGGACCAGGTTTGGAATTCCAGGGGCCCAATCTTGACTTTGCCCTTGGACCCCAAAATCATTAATTACGCCCATGTATGCTCTTGATTGCATACATGGGCAGAATTAACACACCCACATACTCACAAATACATCAAAAACTCAGAAAAAATGCATTAAGGACAGCAGTCTCCTGGGAAAGAAGGTGGTAGTTCTACACATTGATAGTCCATCCTGAAAAAGTTGGTACTAAACAGCTTGGAGCTGCAACCATGGTCTCTGGTACAGATAAGGCCAGAAAGGCTTGTACGCAAAGAATTCTTGAAGCACAGGCTTCTAATGTTATCCAACGAAGGTTAAAATCAAGGGCAACTGGACTTGGTTGAAGATACTGGAAGACGTTTCGTCCCTCATCCGAAGGACTTCTTCAGTTCTGACTGACTGGCAGGGAAACTCAGCTATTAAACCTCAGTGGGGTCGTTATCCCGGGTCTCGGATGAGGGACGAAACGTCTTCCACTATCTTCAACCAAGTCCAGTTGCCCTTGATTTTAACCTTCGTTGGATAACTATGACCTGGATGACTGAGAATCTTCATAGACAGGCTTCTAATGGATCTCTGCAGGAAACCTGCAGCTAGCTGATGCTACCAAACCATGCTGTTTTAAACAGCCTGCTCTGTGTGACAGCTCAAAGCAGCGCCCTTAACAAAGAGAGATTGGTCTGAAACTGTGGGTAGCCTACATCCCACTGGACCCCAGTGTAACCAGAACAATTCACACTCTTGTCTCATGGCTCTGCAGGCCTCCTGATAAACAACACAGAGAGCAGCGTTTCTAAAGCAGACGGCGCCATCTTGTGGCCGCTCTGTTGCACTGAGAGGGTGGAGCTAAACATACTAAACAACAGACTTGGTCTGAACTTGTTCTGCGACTTTGTTAAGTTTCCTATCAGGAAGAGAGGCCAACATGGTTCGTGAGGAGCTGGCGGTCCGTCTCAACGACAGGGAGTACACCAACTGGCTGAAAGCAGGACGGTGTCTGCTCTTGCTGAAGGACGGCCTGCATCCCTTCATCACCCACCACATGAGCACTTTCCACCGAGACCTGCTCAACCAAAACGCTCTGCTACGGAAACCGTGTGAGACTTCTTCATGCAGACCGAGAGGAAATAAGGTCAGATGAGTCTGTTAATCTTAATTTATTTGTTGGCACTATAGTTAAAATGTGGTTTTGAATATCCTGAGAATCAGTTAATATGAGTTTACTGCGACCATATTTTATTTCACACTTATTCTCACTGTAACTTGAATTTTAAGTGTGTGTGTGTGTGTGTGTTTGTGTCTAGCTTTCCTCACCATGCAGGGTGTGTTCAGAGTGGCAGAGAGTGATCCTGAGATACCACAGACAGCCCAGTTCCACAGTGAACTGGGACAACTGTTTCCCTCCCCACTGGAGAACAGATCACTGGGAACTGGCCAAGGTAATCTCACACCGATCCAAACACACTCACTTAACCTTAATCTGCTGTAACTGGCATTTAATATCACCAGGCCATTACTACATTGTGTATGATACAAGATAGTTGTCATAAACAAATGAGAGTGACTGCTGAAAAAGCTCAGTGGTTGCTCAAGTTGCATAGCAAGCAGACATGGAATTATGGGAAATGTGGTCCTATTTTGAAATACAAACACTAACAATGCCACGTGTATGATAAGAGTCTACCAGTCATCTCACCATCTTGTTTAGAGCAGTGATTCACCGGGAAATAGAGTAAAGATATTAAGAGAAGAGAAAAGAGTTCATATTGTGTTTAGGAGGAAAATAAATCCTACTAGGATTACAAATCATTGTGAGGGTGCTCTTTAGTATATTAAGTTAGGGCTGCAACTAATGATTTCTGTCATTATCGATTAATCAACAGTGTTTTCTAAATCCACAAATTCATTCTTTTGTTTATAAAATGTTAGAAAATAGTGAAAAAATGCCAGGTGATGTTTCCCAAAGTCCAAGGTGATCTATTTTGCTTGCTTGTTTGATTCGACCAGCAGTCCAAAACCAAAAGAAAAGCATCAAATCTTGAAATTTGCCTGGAACCAAAAAAGTATTTCACCTTCAGTATATGCATGGAAATTAATACAAGGATTAACTGATTATCAAAATTGTTGGCAATTCAATTTCTGTTGTCCAACTAGTCAATTAATTGATTGATCTATTGTCACTCTATTTAATGTCACAAGAACCATTAAACCAACTGACTGAGGTCGTGGCGATCCTGTGCAGCCAGCGTCATGCCATAATTAAAAATGTGTAAACATCACTCTTTTCATAATATTAAAGGTGTTAAATAACATCCAGTTCCAGAACTAAAGTAATTTTGATACATTCGGTTAGTTTTGTTAGTTTTAGTTTGGTTTCACACTGCATTTATGTGACCACACTAAAGGACTTGACATGACAGAACTGCGTCCTGTCGTCATGATCTATGTGGGATGCGTCTCCCTATACTTGACGTTGATTGGTCGGTAAACAGTTCCGCAGGTACCTTTAACACTAATGAATGAATGAGGGATGAACATTTAATATCGTTGCCACTGTATTTTTATTATGGCATTACTACCTGAAGCACCAACTAGCTTATAGCCTACTCGAGGCTCGTTCAAATTCGCCAAATAAATGTCCTCAGTGTGCGAACATTATTTTGTCAACGCCAGGCAAGAAAGGATGAGAAGACAGCAAGCAATCCTTTTGCATCTCTGTTCGAGGAGACACCAAAGATGCAAGTGGCAATTTGCTTCCATAGCCTAATGGCCATCTGTATCAAAAGATGAGCTGTCACTGGAGATTTATAATTGTGTCCTCATTTCTGTGCATTTCTCTGTGCATTTGTTTGTTACTTTTTCACATGGTAACCGCAGAACTTCCTGTAAATGGTCTGAAAGTCCGAACCATCCATAAAATGCTTTCAAAACTAGAAATGAACTAAACCATGGTTCAGTTTGATCCGGACCAAGACTACCTCTTTTCGTCTGACCAAATTTTGTCTGTTTGGTCTGGACTGTGGTCCAGGGGAGGTTTCACACCTGCAATTTTGGTTCAGATCAAACAAGGTAGGTGTGAAAGCCCCCTGAGCTCATCTGACAGGACTGTGGGGTTACATCAGACAAATAAAGGTTGGGAACCACTGGTTTAAAGTAACTAAGCCAATGTACTTTAATTAATCTGACAATTACACACACATATATATATATATATATATATATATTTCTATAAAAAATGTTAAGAAATGTCACATGTGGACTACACATTGATTATATGATCAGCATGCAATGATTTCTGATCTTGCACATATGAAAGGGTCTTTCACTATAAAAAGTCATAGATACTGTATGTTGAGCTGACAAGATGAAAAAATATCATACACTGAAGAATTTATTAAGTGATACGAGAAATAATCAATTATCAGTAATGAAAAATATCAGTAGTTGCAGTCCTGAGTATATTATGATTTTATATAACAAATGAAGCCCGATTTCGTCAAATGATCTCATATCAGAGTCAAGTAAAGTGAAATGTGCTGCATTATATCACCCAATAGAAGTATTTTTTGACTTGCTAGAAAAATATGACTCAAAGGTTTCTTAAGATTCACCTGAATGTGTTTGTCTAAGGTCTCTTTCTCTCTCTCTGCCTCTGCAGGCCTACATGCCGCGGGGTCAGGGGAAAGTGAAGGGGGCAGATCAATGCGATGCATCTGCTCTGCTCAACCTAATCAACTACTGTGGTGGTTTCCAGTCTGTGGATACAAAATTTGTGAGAGAGGTAAACATAAAAAGGATTTTTAAATGGGCATGCTGTTCTGCTTTTGGTCAGTCATTATCAAGTTGTTAAGTCATAACATTACATTACCAAACCTTATAATCCAGCAGACCGATGCATAAAACGTACTATGAACACTCTGTGCCACAGGCTGGAATATGTGTATGTAAAAACTGATGCCAGGACGAGAACCAAAATCAGAATAAATAAAAAGAATAATAAAACACTGATGATTGATTATGATGTTCTGTTATGTGTGTGTGGTTCCAGGTGATCCGTTACAGGAATGAGTTGATGCATTCTTCTGAGTTTCACATGAAGGATGAATGGATGAAGCACTACCGGGTCGCCCTGAGGAACCTCGTGCGGCAGTTCAGCCACGTACCACAGATGGCAACAGCAGGACGACAGATAGAGGAGGTGAAACATGTCCGGTGTTTGGAAACTCTCAGGTCCCCTCGCTGCATTAGAGTTGTTTTGCATCACGGTTTGTGTGCGTGTGCATTTTGTTTGTCCAGATGCTGACTGTTGATTTGTCAGTATGTATCTCTGGTTTGGACCGGATGGATTCTGCTGATCTGGATGGATTTGAGATTGATTCTGTCAGCCAATGGGAGACCAGCGCCGACTTGATCAGCCAATGGGAGGCTGAGTTGCTGCAAGAGAGGCTGCAGGAGTTACTGCATGCTGCTGATGATGATACAACAACATGGGTGCGAAGAACAAATACAGATGTCCATGTGGTCCAGTGGCACATTTGCACATAATACAAATGAAGATGCCACGAGACTTCATCTGACTCTGTCTCCTCTTTAGGATGCTGAGCAGCTGATGACGCTGGATGGTTTCCTCCAGGCCAACAGAGATCTGGGTGAGAGGTTTTCTGCAGAGCTCCAAGCCATCCACTCGCTGCAGGCCAGAGAATAAGAAGAAGGAAGAGGTTAATAGGTTAAGAATTTAGGCAGATCAAGGGATTTGTGGATGTGCATGTACAGTATATAGTGTTGTAATGCAATGTAAATAAAGAAATCTATTGACTCTATTGACTGAACACAATCCATTGACTCTTTCCTGATTGACACACTTTATTTCATTAACTAATTATAATAGGGGTGGCACGGTAGTCCGATGGATAGCTGTGGCCTCACGGCAAGAAGGTCGTGGGTTCAAACCCCGGTTTCCCCGGCCTGTCTGTGTGGAGTTTGCATGTTCTGCCCGTGTCTGCGTGGGTTCTGTCCAGGTGCTCCGGCTTCCTCCCACCATCCAAAGACAAGCGGCCTTGGTTGATTGGTGACCCTAAATTGTCCGTAGGTGTGAGTGTGAGTTTGACTGGTTGTGTACCTTCACACCTATTCTTCTCTTGGTACAAAAAGGGTTCTTTTATACGCAAACTACACTGTAGACAATAATTGAATCTTAATTATATATAAACATTCCTGACTCTGTTGAAGAAGCTTGTATGGTTTTTATTAAATCATAGCCACATTTTAACTGCCTGAATAACAAGCCCAACTCTGGTGTTCACAAAATATTGTGGGAGTCTAAACTAGTGTCATGATTTCTGGTGAATGAAGTGTCAGTCTGTAGCTACTTCAGCTACCTGTGGATGAATCTGTATTTTAAAGTTGTAGCTGGTCCAAGTGAAGCTACTTTTACCTTATTTGTATCCTGGGTTCACAGCCAATTACATGTTTTGTAGGCCTTTATTACATATGAATCTGCAGAGTAACTGTTATAACAACTCTAAATGTGACTATACTGTCTGTGAGTGGAGTACATGTAGGCCTATAAAGAAAAGGCTACTCAAGTAACTAAAAATTGTAATTAAGAAGCCAACAGTAGGCCTACTTTAAGGCTACTTCATTACTTTCCACTACTGGTTTTTATTAAGACTACCATAGAACAAACTGCAGTCACAGTGTGATTAAAAATGAACATCAAGGAGTTGCTCAAATTTAGATTAAGAAATATATAATTTGGTCAAAATAATAAGTAAAGTAAACAAATTAAACCGAGAGCAAGAAGTCTATAATCGTAATCTATGAGTTTGAAAAAATATTTCATCTTGCATCAGCCATGCAGATCACAGTGCGTCTGCCATCCGATAAAACTTTAGTTTGAGGGACATAGCAGTTCAGCTGGAAGTTGTAAGCATGGAGGTTTTTCGGATATTTGATGAAGAAAACCATAAGAACTGGTTGAAAGGCGTTGTTGGTTTGAGGCTTCTTCAGAACCTGCTTGAGTGTTTTATTAATAAGCAGATCGACATTTTCCACCAAGCACTGCGCAGGGAATGCTCGGATGTGTGCGGCAATAAATGCCATTTAAAAAACTGGAAACTACGGCCAAACCAGGTATGAACTTAAATGTGACCGTTGTGCATGTGTGATGAACTAAAAATGAAACAGTGGAAAGGAAAGACATCAGCCAGCAACGTTTGTGTCTGCGTGGGCCAGCTGAGCTAGCCTTCTGAACTGTTTTTCCTTTGCGCGTAGGCCTGTTATATTTCTAGTAGATATGCCTAAAACACGAAAATAAAGAATAATTTTATAAATAGGCTATGGAGATCAAAGTAGAAAATACAATTATTTCTGATATGTCTTCATTGGTAGGCCTATATGATTTTGTCTTTATAACCCATTATTATCCAGCGTCTGTCCAAAGTTAGTTTTCTTTCTTTCTTTCAGTTTATACTGCACAATCTTCACCACAAGGCAGCGGAAATACAGTGGGAGTTGCTGACATTCCATGATCAAGTTAGGAAGTCTATGAAGTAATTGTCTGTTCCCTTGCATCAGTGTTTTCCTCAGTGGCTGTGTGTTTCTTTTAGATAATAATTATTTTGTTAATAATTGTAGGTTGTTACAAAAAGATCAGTATTAGGCAGTATTGTGTATGAGGTCAGAGCTCCTCTGCCTGCTCTGCACCAAATGGCAAACAGTCACAGAACAACTGTTTAACATAGTTTTGCATATGGTGGTGGCTGTGTATGTGAGGGTTTCTTGTCTTTCTTTCCTCAAGTGTCCAAAAAAAAAACTTCACAAAATGACTAGATGGCCAAGTGTTCTTTGTGCTGCGATCGCATCTAATCCTAAACATTACCAAAATTGATTTGGTGAAAAGATAAACGCTTTCTCTCTGTAATGGAAAGCTCAGAATCATCTCTCGGAAAGCCCTCTAGCATTTCTTTCATAATTTGTCATAACAATGTGTTTTTTAAAGAGCCTCCTAAATCCCAAAATAAGATTATTTGTCTAGTTCTAATTTTAAGCTGCTGATTGCAGGTTCCTATATTAGATTGTGAGGTGTGTTCGCATTGGAGAGATGTGATATGGACCAACAACAACAGTCAGGGTGGAAAGGTAATGTGGATGAACAGTGAACCCCACATGTGGTCCCAAGATAAATGGGAAGTGGCAAAGGTGAGTTTGCAGTCTTTTCTTTGAGCAGTACAAGATTTTGCTATCACAGTGATATTTTTTTTAATGTCAAATTGATTTGGTCTGTTTGTTCAGCAGGTGTCACACTAATGATACCGGCTTCTGTTTTCAGGTGTACATGACAGGCGGTCATAAGAACCATAAATCAATTGGTCAGTTTGACATTGTTGCGCTTCTGTCTCTCATGACTCAATGCAATCACTTCAAGAAGTTTAAGCTGGGTGGATTGTGTGAGCAGGTAAATTATTATTTGTACACACACATAGAAATAAACATATGTTGTGGGATGTCTCTAACTGCAGTCACTCATTTTGAATGCCAGTCAGTTACACAACAATACACCTGTTGTCATTAATCTGTATTTTAGTTGTCATATGAGGTTAGGAACATGAAATATCAGTGTGCAGAGGTTGCTGTCAGTTCTGATCAACAGGAAAAGTTATTAGAATGACCAAGTTGTAAGTTTGCCTGCATTAAAATTCAATTCTTTAACCACTGTGTATAGGTTGCCAATGTCCGAAACAATATCATGCATTCTCCAAATTACCAGCTGAAACGAGAGGAATTGAATGGATACCTTAGTCAAATCAGAGATCTGGGTGAGGTGCTGGCAAAACATGATCCTGTGTTCAAATACCTGTCTGGAGACATCAATGAGGTGTGTGCTTTCCCTTATTTCTCATGGACTGTTTATTGCACCCTATCTACTTTAAAGGAATTATGCAGAAACAAAGTAATTAATTAAGTATCCAAATCAAACTACCACTATGACTTTGCATAAGGTAATTTCCTAGTTACCACTAAACACATAGAACAGCTGAGGCTGATGGGAATGTCATTTGTTTTTTCAGGTATTTGATCATAAACTAAAGTATTGGATTAATAAATTTTTGACCTGATGAAAGTTAAGGGATTCATAGCAATCCATCCAGTATTTTATCCAGATATTCCACTCAAAAACCACAAATGTCAGCCTCATAGTGGCACAAGAGGAAAAGTCAGGCGATCATGAATGTCTGTACCAATTTTCATGCAAACCCAGCTAATGGTTGTCAAGACATTTCACTTAATGTCATAAATGTCCACCTGCGGATGTTGCTAGACGTAAGATCACCAAAGTCAGTAAGATTCGTCATCTGGGGACCATGAATTTCAGTCTGGACCAAAGTGCTCCACTTTGGTGGACTGAGATTCTGTATTAACCATATAAAGTGTCATGCCATAAGCATGGAAATGTAGATTTATTTTGTTGTTTCTAGTAATAGTGTATTAAAAGACCTGTCAGTTGATTTGGGGAGATTTTCTAGTTGTGCGACTCATCGGCAAGAACAAAACCTTCCATTCAGGACCTGAGTGGAATAAGAAGACTTATACATGTATTATATCACTCTGTTTTCAGATTCAGAACCTTGACTTTAGACTGACCTTTCCTGACAACATACAGCAACAGCAGAAGAAATTCCGATTCATGAAAAAGAACTAGAGGACAAACTTTTTGTAAGACATGAAACACACATATAAAATCTCTTTTCTAAGATGCTTTCTTGTAACCATATTAATTCTGTATATATGTTTCATTTACATCTTATGCTGCTGTTCAGTTCGTCAAAGAAAACTATAATACCCAAGTCTTCCTCAGAAGGTGAAGAAGCTGGAGAAACGCCTCACTGAGTGTTACAGGGAAAGGGACACTCTTTGCCTCTTCTACGAAGCCAAGCTCAGGAGGCAGCAGCAACTGATTGCGAATCGTGACAGACACATAGAGAACATGCGCTCTGTAAGAATCTACATTTGTGTTTAAAGTATATTTTCAACTTAGGCTTCTTTTCAGCCGTGCTTATTCTGTGTGTGTTCATGGTTATTGCACACAGTGATCAGGAGGCAGGGAACGCTTCAGCATTGTAATTACGAGTGTTGGTGATTGGACCTGATTGGTACACTGCTAGATTCTTCACAACAAACCAGATCATTATAATCTCAAAGACCAATGCAGCCTGTCCACACACATGAAATCATTCAAAGTGGGATTGGGGGTGTCGGGGCACCGCTCTTTGCTCTGCTAGCTCAGTAGCACAACCGGTTATGATGAGTGCTTGACACACTTTTTGCCATTTGTAAACCTTGTTTGCTCACTTCAGACAGACTACTTGAGCATTTTTGGTCGGCGTCAAGTAATGATGTGGTTTCAGGTTTGCAGCGATGTTTAACGTAGTTTGAATAAATGTAACAAAGTGTCGAAAGGAGTTGGTTCTTGTGACTAACCTACAGACAGTCACCACCCCATTTAACAGTTTCCTTCGGCTCTACGGAGCTTGTTTGGTCTCAACTTTACAGATTTACTTCTCAATGCTCTCATTAGCATCATTTTCAGCAGCAGGCAGCTGTATTTAGCAAAACAAGCTCTAAAATCTGTGCACTACTTGTCCAGCACCAAACAGCAGACTAACAAAGCTAGCTAGTGAACATCATTTAGCAGCTAAAGATTTAGATCTCCAACAGCAGAGCTAAAAGTGGAGTTAATAAGTATAATAGTTGTATCTGGGATCATTGTAGCTGGGAGACTACAACACGTTGAACACAGTGCATTCCTTCAGATTTACGCTGTGCTGAAGCAAATGCTTTGTCATAGTGGAGGTGTTTCCTCCATTGCACAAAATATCCTTGCTGCAGGTGTTTCATTTTGCTGTGTTGTTGTCTATCTTTTTTAGTGAAGCCAAGCCAAGCTTTTGAGCGTTCTCTTTTCGAATGCTCACATACTGCATGACGTGACCTTAGGTCCGCGTAGCAGGTCCTGGCGGGGAAATGGTTTCAGCAGTTATTCAGATTTAGTGAATTTGTTTCTATGAAATTCCCAGCCATGTTAATTTTGTGCGTACTGTGTGTACTATGTCACATACCAGGTATTTAGACAAGTGCCTTTTTGTGGTAAACATACTGATAATGTGACTTTTCTTGTCAGTCATTCTAATTGTATGTGTGTGCATATTTACATCCTAGGCTCCTGTGGAAATGGACATTGGCCGTCATGCTCAGGCTCCCATCAACCCGGATGAGAGGATACAACTTGTGGCTGCATTGCCAATGGCACTCGATTTTGTGGCAGCGATTTTTATGGCTGTGTTGTCAATACTTTAAATGTGAGTAATGATGATAATTAGATACAGCATGATTACATGTAGTATTCATGTCAGTTTTATCTTGTTAAAGATAAAGACACAATCCTGAATAAAGACTGTTACTATTTAAATATTTCTTGTCTTTGACTAAAGAAGCTGTGTAAACATTAAATAAAACCACAGCTATGCTTGATGGCTTTGGTTTTGTATGTGTGGGTAGGGTAGAATGCTGTATGCATATATCATTGTTCTTTGTATTATGAGGTATTTCTAAACCCCTTTCATACAGCTTTTAAATCCATACAGTGTTTTTCTGCACTGCCCTATGGTGTAATAAAGATTTCTGCTGTCAGAATTCCAGCTGAATGTGTATGAAAGATATCTGTTGGTTGCAATCAAATACTGCTTTTAGATTTTGAGAAAAACATGGTAACACAATATACAATGTGTGGGACTTTTTCTGTCAAATAAAAAACATTATTCTGAAAAGAGTGTGGGATTGTCAAATCCATAGCTTACTTTCATATAATATATACAGTACAGTAAGTCCTCACATGCAAAACATTACCGCCAACTGCCATAACCTCTCAAAGTTGTTAAAACGTCTAACAAATAGTCTGTAGTCTGGTATTGTCATCAAATGAATTGATTGCAGGAGAAGCTTTTGTAAAACAAAATCTACAGGTGCAACTCTACGTCATTTTCCAAACACATTTACAGTACAGGAGGTAAATCTCACACACACACTGAATATGAAGCAGAGTGACAACATAAAGGGACAACAGCCCACTCATGCAGAAGAGAAGACGTGAAGGTTAGCTATATGTGTTGATGACTTTGGAAGTGACAGACGTACTAAGAATGTTACAGCAGAAACATTTAGCAACATGTCAAAAAAACATTTGTGTATATTAAGGGCAAATTTCAGATATAACGTAAATGAAATACTGTAACCATATAGGAGCATTTCTCCAATGGTCAGCCAAAGTAACATTTTTATTCAGTTAGATCACATGAGTGAGAGTGGGTTATTCATTTGAGTGTAGCAATAAACAGGCTGACAAGTTACGTTAAGTTCGATTCAAATGGCTTTATACACATATATATATATATATATATAATATATATATATATATATATATATATATATATATATATATATTAGTGATGTCCTTTTGCAGAACCCTAAAAAGTAGAATCTGAAGGAAATATTGCTGAGAATAATTAGGTGGCAACAAAACATGCTTTCTTACTCAACCACACTCATTTTAGTGTATACACGAGTCACTGCTACTGATGATCGGTGCAATGGCAGTGCAGTTATGGCAGTAAGTCTGGTTCTGGGTTATGAGCGCTTAATGAACTGGGTAGAGTCTTTGAGCAAACGGCATCTTAAGACTTCCTATTTCCATGTTTTGCCCAGAGGTCCACTCTGATAGTTGCAGAGCAGACATGCGTTTATAGCTGATTGATGCTCCCTGAGATGGAGAGGGTAATGTTAGTGTCAAACAGTCTGTTTTCATGGGCTCTCCTAAATAACTTCTCCACATGGACCGTCCCAGGAGCAATAGGCTGAGTCTCAGTAACATCATGCGCTGACGTTTGGTCACTTTTAGACGAAGAGGCTGGCCGGTAAACTTTGACAGGGACAAGGTTGTCTACCGGGAAGCCCTTATCAACCATGACATGCGCATGTCAGGCGACAGGAGAGGTGTAATGCCTGATTTCCTGAAGAAGATGTCTTTGTCACTCACATACCCTTCATAGAGTGCAGACACAAATGATACAGCACCAAACGTTCAGTGAGTACCTGGGTGTCTGCGTATTCCCTAAACTCCTGGGGTAGCCAGTTAATCCGGCCATAGATGCAGATACTTTTACCTATTTCAGAAATCTATGGGTAGTCTTTGACCACTGGCTGCCTGTTTCTTTTAGGATTTAAGTTTTAAATAATTTTAATTAGTTTTAAGACCAGACATGGGTTAGCACATATACAGTATCTCTGAGCTTTTATGAGCACATCCTCTGGTAGGGCCCCTACTCTTTGGAACAGTCTGCCAGAGGAGTTTGAATCGCAGAGCATGTTCTTATCTCACTTATTAAGACTCATTTATACATAATTGCTTTCAATGTGTGATGCGTAATTTATTCCTCCATTATTTGTATATTGACTGACTTATGTTTTATTTACTTTATTCAAACTACTATGTGATGCTCATTTATTTCTGCTGTACTTGTACATGGACTTATTTTATGTTTTATTTGTAGCCCACCACTGTGCATTATACTGTGTGTCTATGTTTTACATTAACTGATGTAAAGCACTTTGTTACATGTATTGAAAAGTGCTACACAAATAAAGATATTATTATTATGATTATTAATATTATTAGTCATATTATTATTATTACTACTTTTTACCCTGGGTTGTTTATATACAAATATGTAGTGGAGTAGAAGTATAAATTAGTATAAATAAGTATAATGAAAATACTCAACTGAATTCATGTATCTCAAAATGTTACTGTAGTACAGTAGTGGAGTTAAGTCATTTTACACATCACTCCATGTTGTGAGCCAATATTTAACAGTTTGACACTGGTTGTAGTTAGCAGGATATTCATACATGTGGCTTGCAGGTGATATTTCTAAACTGGTATAGAAGTGTATGTCTTCAGTGGTCCAGCAAACCGCGGCAAGAGGAGGCAATCAGTGTCCTTCAGTATCATTCTGTTCATGATGCTCTGCTCCCCCTATTACTGGAACAAAGTACTCATGGTCCACAAAGATCGTCACAGCGCCCTCTGCTGGCGCTAGTTGCAGCTTGCGTGCTCCTCCTGGTCAGACTGTGTTAGGTTATGAGTTGTTCCATAGATATAAACAGGGTACAACTCCAACTTTTAACTTTCTCCTACCTTGTGATGTAGTGCACATTTCGTCTCTGCTGAAATGTCGGCTGCATACATTTGGGTGTCTGAGTACAGCTAAACCATTCCTTCTTATTTTGTTGATCTACTGCTGCGCAACAGCGGGGTTTTGTGGAAGCTAAATGTGGAAGCAATGTGGAAAACAATCAAATGTTTATGGCTAACGTATCTTTGTTGCTCTCATTTCATTGGCTCGACTTTCTGCAGCAGACTTGGCAGCCAGTAAAGTAGAAAGAGGAAATGAGGGAACAGTCTGCCTTTGTTGTTGTTGTTGTTTTTTACTGACAACTCAGAACAGTGGCATATCAAACATAGTCTACATAAATGATCTGTTCTAAAAGATGAACAGGCAAACTAAAGTGTACACTGAATGTCAATATATGGCCTATTTATCTTATAGGCTCTTATAGGCCTATCAGTTTATTTCACTTAGGGATGTTCCTATAGTCTAACTTTTGCCTCATTTCTGTTTCCTTGTTCCCTTTTATTTTAACTAGTATTCATTTTTTAAATCTCAGTTGTTGTGTTGTTTCATTTCTTGTTTAGTAATACCCTTTGCTTTTTTGTAGGATTTGAAAAACTGTTGAAATTTCCCCTTGCGGGATTAATAAAGTATATCTTCTATCTTTTTCGGAATTGTGACAAATCTCATGATAAAAACAAGAAAATCAAAATGCCAAATATTGAAAGGTAAGAGGAGAAAACTGTAACATTGTAACAATGTTAGTCATAGTAGCCCCTTGACTTATTAATGTGATTAAATTTTAGTTTTATTTGGAGATAGAAATGGTCACACTGGAAACATGTATCTATTATCATTCCTTCATGTCATGCATTTCACTTTACTACTTTGTACTTTACTTTGTTTCTGTAACATTTGTATTTAATTAATGGCTTGAATTTTTTTCATACACACTGTTTGTACAGGCCAAAAAGAAATATTTGAATTAAAGTAAGACAAATCCATTGAGTGAAGACTGGACTGCCATGTGCCTTCCAGTATTTTCTCCATTATAAAAGTAACCAGCAGCTGGAGAGTTTGTCAAGTCAAGTGGCCTTTTTAAGTAGGAAAAACTTTTTTAAAAACTATTTTTTTTTAAAACCATGTTAATTCTAGCTCAAGGTTGGTAGAGAATGGAGGGTACGAGGGTAAGAAAGTAATTAAAAGAAAAGCACCAGCTCTTTTTCTTACAGTGATCTTTGTCATTTGTCATTATAAGATAATCACAGAATGTAATAGTTTTAGGCTGAAAAATCAGATGATGTTGATTCTACTTTTGTTAGTTTGATCTTGTAATAAGTCTAAATAAGGACTTAATTTCTTTAAAAAATGTATATATGCTATGAAGTACCTACATCTTGTCCTTGTGTAAAAGCTTAGATTTTGTAAACACTGGTGACAGCACCCGACCAAACCACAGCTAGGTTTGATGTCTTTGTTTTTGTGCATGCGAGCGTGGGTGGGTTAGCTGGTGGTTTGTGTGTGGGGCACTGCTGTATGCACCTATATGTCTCCTTTAACTCATTGTCCTCTGCCCTGTGTGTTTATCATAAACCACTTTCATACATTTTTTAAATGCCAACAGATTATGTCTGCACGACATCCTGATGGTGCTTTAAGGCTTACAGCTGTCCAACTGGCGAGTCCGAATATATATGATTGTATAAGAGATTGTGGAAATAGACAACCTCTTATAACACGGTGTGACAAAAAGTTATGTTTACACACACAGTTTATCAGAACTTAAAAGGGTGGAGTTGTGATCTAGCAGGACTGAGCAATTCATTGTATTTTGTGAGGGTGTTTTTCTGTTTTGTGGTTTGCAAAACAGGAATCAAATTAAAAAAGAAAGCTAAATATATACTTTCACTTTTCAACAGATAAAAAGCCTGTATTCTGGTTAGACATGACATATGAGACGCAGCTGCATAACAGAAAAGTGTGAAAACCAGAAAAGCTTTTCCTGCCTCATAGCCTTTCACACACTCCTCTGCTGCTACAATTTGCTGCACTCTCAACCCCAAGCACACATGGGTACCTGGCACCGAGGCAACATGGAGAAGGAGGGTACGCTCGTCCGTTCTATTTATTACGGGAGGATTGGAAGCAAGGCCACGGAGAGGCTGATGGAGATGTTTGGACATGACGGCAGCTTTCTGCTGAGAGACAGCGAGACAGTGCAGGGGGCCTATTGTCTGTGTGTGAGGTGAGCTGTGAGTGGGGGTGTACAAAGTGACCAAAGGTGACATTTTTCATTCAGTTATGTCGCACCCACCCCTCATTCTTCATTTTAGATGTCTATTCATAGAGAAATTCAATGAGCATGTTTTATGTCCAGCAAAGTAACTTTATTTCTATGTCAGTTAAATAAATTTAAATAAAAAGAAAATAGCTGAGCAAACCAAGCGGAAGTGCTGATGTGGGGCTTTTAC